AAGGTTCTGGTTCTGGATGATGGTAAGCACATTTGAGCAAGTGGATTTTATCCAACATTCTACTCATACATTATGATTGGGTTGTGCCAATGCTACCTTTAAAACATTAACTTGAACTTCAGGCATGATACCAGCAAGGTGTCGAAGTGCAACACATACATCATGCCCGGCCACAGGAAAATTCCAAGCAACTTCGATCTGCAAATCCCCAGTGATTCCTCAAATCCTCAGGTTTCTGGCCTGTCCATTGATGTTGGCTCAAACATGGCCCAAACATGGGTGTGTAATCTTTAATACCCTGCAAACAAGTTTTTTTTTCAGACTGGGTATGAACTATTGCACATTTATATACATTTATAGCGTAGAGCAACAAACATAACCGGCCGTTCACCATCCGGTTTACCCAGAAATGCTTCTTGAGCATCATTTTCTCCGATTACAACATGCCATTGACGGGGTACCCTCTGGTAATTTTGAAACTTGGCTGGAGATTACATCATTTATAGATGATTTCCGTTGATTTTCCCAGCGAACGAAACCTCCATTTGTATCCATTTGTAGGGGATTTCCCAGCCACGGCCGCACCTGTCATCTGCTGTGCCTGTCGGCAACGGCGCCGCATGCGGTGCATGCTTGCCTCGAAAATATGGCCACGGCTGGTGGTTGAGCCCCTCAGCCACCGATATCAAGCTTGCCCTCTGGTAATTTAACATAGCTATGCAGACTTGACCCATTTATAGATGATTTAACTGTATAGATATCTTAAATATTCTTCAATTACCGGAGGTATGATGCACACTTCGTGGTTCATCCCTCTTAGTAAGTAGGGTTCCGGCACAATGACGACGTACGATTTTTGTTATGACATGATCCATTTGCAACTGACATAAAACGGGGAAATCACATGAAATTAAGTAGCTACCGACTAGTAATTTTTGCATAGCAATGGAATGAACATGGCCCATTCATAGATGAGCCTATAAAAAATGGGATTTTCCATAGCAACATGTTAAATTACCAGAAGGTAACCAAGCGCTGATTGGTGGTTGGCTCGGCATTCGGCATCGCCGGGATCTAGATCCAACGACGGAGGCTGGAATTTCTGACGGTGTTTCTTCCAAAAATCCATAGATTCCACAGCCTTTTCTGCGCAAGAATTTCCATCATTTGAAGATTACCAGCTGATTTTAAGTGACTTTGGCCACTCAAAGCGGATTTTCGCCTGACGGGGGGAACAAGTTGGGTTTCTCTAAGACTGCAGCATAATTACCACCAAAGCCAATGGTTTCCAATCTCAAGCAAACCTTGCTTGGATCCATTCGGATTTTTCGATGTTTTTCGTCGTTGTCAATTCCTTGATATTCCTTGCGCCATTTGGTGATTTAACTGCACTCCGACCTGGCACAGACTGCGAAATTCTGATGTTTAAGCACCAGCTGATTGGTGTGGCCTGTCCCTAAAATCATCCCAAGGATGCCCAAAAAAACTTGGCATTCTGCCTGCTATCATCTACTTTCATGATTTCGAGGTGGACCACTCAAACCATGTTAAACCGCATTTTCTCGCTGGAATCCTCAGAAAATGACCACCAGAATCAAGCGCAACTCCAGGTGGAAACACCCCGGTGTTTCCCCGATGCCGTAGGATCTCCTTGGTGGCTGAAACCACAGCCGTCGCCGTAGGTGCACTTGCCCTGCAGAAAATGTCGACAGACCGGCCTGCAAGCTGTGAGATGGGATGGGATGGGATCATAGTTTTTTCGGCCATGCATTCCATCAGCCTGTTTTGGGGTAAAACCCATCAGGCAAAAAAAAAGGGCGTGTCAAATGATATCGTTTTATGGCTTTTTACATGTGGCTACAAAATAGGTTATATGTAGATTTCAGTTTCAAAGTGATTTATACCCCGTATAAGATTTATACCCCGTATAAAACCTATCTACGTACATGTGTATATTATATATATATAATGATAGCTGGGTATATTGCACACACATATATTATATATATATGTAATAATACACACACACACATAACTCGGTATAATTCGCTTACTACCAACGTACGAAGAGGGATGCACTCCCAAGTAATATTCAATGATCTCTCAAAGCATGGTATGATTGTTGTTGCTTAACTTCCATGGGGGCATTGTGTGGTTTGGATATCAAACTACATGTACCATGAAAGTCAAACACATACCAGTCTTTACAAAAGCAGGAAATAAGATAAAATGCTAGTGTTGGGATGCAGTTCTAAAGACCCCAGCTATATATTATATCAACTATTGGGTTATATCCAAATGACTCACATAACGATTGAATCCGTGAGGCCTCGTTTAGTAGCTATGGACCTCTCTGCGTTGGATGAAGTATCAGCAGATAGGCTACCCCCAAATCCCATGGCTTTTCATACTACTACCCCGTGTTGTCACATCGCTATTTTTCGAGGTATACCCAATTTCTGGATAAATCATGCTCAACCCATATCCAAAATTTGGGGACTCCCAACATACACAACTTCATTAGGATCATCAACCATTACCAGGCCTTGATCTACTAACTGTACAGACTCCGAATGCGAGGATCATCCCAGAACTCAGAACGGAGGTTTCCGAAGTCATGGGGGCACCCCAAATTCATCCAGTTGTCATGGATGATCATGACTTAGTATTGAAACCATGGTGACGACTGGGGATCCCCCCATGCCTTTTGGGACCCCACGCCTGTCATCGGTGAAATGCTTGAAGTTGCACGTATCACCTAAGCTGAGGCACAAGAAACGGTGCTACCAGGCTGTTGTTTCAGATGTGCCATGGCTGCCAAGGTCAACTCAAATATTTTTATGGTCATCCCACCATCAGGATTCGATTTACTATAATATGATTTGATGAGTTATTGATCCCTGTTATGAACATGGATTGATGACCATCCTCTCAATATGGGTGTATAATCCAAGTCTCAACTGTGGCACAAATGATGATGGGTATCTATTGGGAGCATAGCCCATTTTCAGACACACATACATATATATATATCCTGGTGTGGTTTGGTGTGTTGATTCTAACTACCAATCATTCAGCTAACTCAGGAAACAGCACGAAGCGTGGTTGCACATGGCCCACTTCTCAACACGATGAGATAATGAGTCCAGGGTCCTGCGAATTCTCTGCGAACTCCAAGCAACAGTCACCAGTCATCCCGAGGATTTGGTGAGGGCCTACTGTAATCACTGTGATATCACGGTTGACTGGCAATTAGCCCCTTGTTTCACAGGGAGAAATCCCGCCACGTTGGATTCCCATAGCTCCTGAATGCTGCCAACATCTCCCAACCTCAGGCATCATCTCACCTATCTCTAAGGTTCTGGCCGTAGCTACACTTTCCCTCCAAGAAGTGGCGACATACATCAGCTGCGGCCAGCATAGTGGCGCCTGAGCATGATGTCGTGATCCCAAAAACCTTGGGTTTCAATACTAAAATTATCTAAAATGATTTTAAGATGGTCTAATTTGGGATGATTTGGGTACCCCATTTCAGGAAACCTCCATTTTATGCCCAAACAGGATTGAATCGTCTAATATTGATAATATCATGTCAACCAGGCGAATAAAGAAAGGGAATGAAGCAAAAAGAGAGATACGGTACAGCAGAGATACTATGTTAATTGCTGCGTTCATACGTACGGACACCCCAGGGGATATGGGTGAAAACAAGTATATTATCATATATTATCAATTATCACCAGCACCAGATATTCAAGCAGGGTTCCTAGACACAACAAACAAACGCATGGTTAACAAAAAAAGCAAATGGTGGCGACCTCAAGTTGAAGTCACTTTGAAAATTACGAGTTGAACCTGCCAACCATCCGATGGTTCCAAATTTTGCCTCTACCTTGGGAGGTCATCATTCAAGACCTGCTTGTGTCAGAGCGAGCAATCTCTGGCGCCTGTCATCTGGAGATACCACTGCTTCGCTTGCTGTCAGGAACATGTGGCAGTTTCTCCGAATGCTAATAATCAAGGGATCTTTCGAGGGCTGGATGGTTTTGGTTGGTTTTGGCAGGCTTCTAATGGCAAAATACTATTTATTGAGATGTAGAGGCTTTGATATCTCTGGCTAGAATTGAACACTTTTACATGTTGAATGATTCTGCGACAGGGGGCAAACCTTCAGCAGCTGAATCTATTCCGTGGTAAACTCAATGATAAACCAACCGGTGACTTGAGCAACTCGAGCCAGGACGTCACATGCGTAATGGTGGTGATTCGCGATGGTGAGACTTCTCATTGGCTTAGCCAACACATAGAGAGTATTTTTTTCAATTATTTCTATTTCCTAATCAGGTGGTCCATGGTGCTTGAGTTCAGGGATCCATAGGGGTCCCAGTTTATAGAAAGCGTAACACATAGCTTCATGATCATCATTGAACAGAACTATGATCGCTAGCTGCCTCCGATAATCTAGCCTGGCTGTGAAGATTCCGATGTATAGGTGACTTTCAATCAAACATGGGCATTTCCCAATGGGACAATCACCCTACCAACTTTTTCCGTTTCTCAATAAATTGGATTGTCAGAGAACGATCGAACATATCTATATAAACATATCTAAACATTGGAAACCATGGAGAAAATAATGGAAAATTCTATCGATCGATCGAACCCAAGGGCATCTCTGAGTACATCAACATCCTTCGCCATGTGCGAAGGGAAGGGCATCCCAGCATGGTGACTCGATGATTCGTGAAGTGGGAAAAGTCTCCACTGTATTGATCATTGAAACCCTTGAACATATTATAATATACCACACTGTTATATCATATATATTAAAACACTTCCCTCCTCAGATATCAAACATCATCAAACCCTTCTTCCAAAATTTGAGACAGCGATCAAACACAAACAAGTTTGGTCACTTTTAGTGTAACACTCGAATTTTGCGGGGCTATTAATCTCTTGGAACCAGAAACACATCTGCCTTTGACCTAAAGCAACTCGCGTTTTCTGCGCGTCTTGTGCGAACCATCAGCCATCAGCCCAGCCATCGTTCCGATCGTTCCGGGGATCAACACCTGGGTACCTGCGTCGAGGAAACGGCCAACAAATAAGATGCATAACAAATCTGTGGACACTGCAATACACACACTGGTCTGGCTTTTCCACAATCTTCCGAAATCAAATTCTACCAAGACACATCAAGACAACAAAATTTGGGACCGCTACGGATCGCCCTGGCGATGGCCTGTAAGCATTGACAATTCAAGGAGACACGCAACGATCGGCAGCGATCTACCTTCGCCTGCACGAGGAGGTCAAACAGTTCACCAGTTTCACAGTTCATCATGGAAGGAACATCCTATTATCTTATGTTCCATCCATGATCTGATATCATAAATGTTGGAAAATATTGAATAATAAGGCATATCTTATGTACTTGAATAAACACAAACACTATATTAAAAAACACCAAACAAAAAACTATTAGAAGATATCTTGAAAAAATCTTTAAGTATACATGGTGAAACAGTTGGTGCATGTTGGTACCCAAAAAACTCGGAACTTGCGCGATGTCTTGTGGAGGATCCTAAGCTTCAACCCCCCAGCCGCGGTTACGCCTCAGGGGAGCTTGCAAACAGCTGCGGCTGAACTGCAAATTCTCCAGCAGCCGCTCCTGACGCGGCGACTTTTCAAACAGCTGGGAAACTGTGCCACGGATTTGATAAAATTGCTGTCACATCATGGAAAGTGCCACATGCACAGCAAAAATCTGTGTGGGTGGGGAATCGGGTTCTCGGGTTCTTCATATTTCTTGGGCATTCACGACACCAAAGAACTGCAAACACTTGGTATGGATGGCAGGAGATCCACCAGCTCTTTCGCTGTTTGCTTCTCCGCATCACATTTTTTATTGATCAACATTGATCAAGGGATTCCCAAGGGATATCAAGAGTTTAGACTTGTCATCTCTCCCAGTATTTGGGCATGCGGCACGCATCCAAATTACAGGATGAATATTTCATGTTACTGCTTGGCGAGGGCCAATAGCTAGTTTTGACACATCGCCATTGCATGCCATCGATTTCATGAACAATATCCAGGTCTACATTTACAAATGGTTGCATCCACTTATTTATTCTTCACCATGCTGCGGCAGGGTTATTTCCAGGTTAAAACCATTGAAATCCATGTAAGTCATATCTATTTTCCTTCTAAGTTGGCTTAACGCTATTTTCGTCGGATTACCCCAATCATGTGATGGTGGTTACCCCAATCATTGCGCTATATTCCCCAAAGGCCACGCTGAGGGGTTCTTACGGTAAGTGTTAAGGCCCGGTGTTTAGTGGAGGTGGTATCATCCGTGTCCGGCCAAGTCCCTGTAAATCTCCAAGCAAAATGGTTCTTGTGAAATGTCCATGTGCATTTCGACTGCAAAAACTCGCACAAAACGATGTCCATGGTCGTCGCGTACGGCATTTTCCGTGTAAATTTTGATGCCAAATGGCTCTTGCGAAATGTCCATGTGCATTTCGAGTGCGCAGGCTCGCACGAAACGGTGGCCGCGGGATTCGCGTCCGGCATTTTCCTTGTAAATTTCCAAATAAAATGGCTCTTGTGACATATTCATATGATTTCGACTGCGCCGGCTCGCACAAAACGAGAAATCTCGCACAGACATCTTGCCAAGAGATCTCTTATAGGGAGTCTGTACAAAGATCTTGCCAACAGAGCTCTTTTTGAAATCTTGTGCAGAGATCTTGCCAGAAGACCTCTGATAGATATCTTGTACAGAGACCTGGTGAAGAGAGCAGCGATCTTGCTCAGAGACCTTCTCTAGAGAGCTTGAACAGAGATCTTACTTTGAGATCCCCCACAGAGATCTTCTATGGAGATCTCTTATAGAGAGAATTCTTCAAGAGTCTTTCCAAGAGACTTTTTATAGAGATCTTGTACAGAGATCTTGCCAGGACACCTCTTACGCAGACCTTGTACAGAGACACTGCATAGAGATCTGTTGCAGAGATCTTGCCAAGAGGTCTCTTACATAATTCTTGCTAAGAGAACTCTTCTAGAGAGCTTGTACAGAGGTTTCATAAAGAGATCTTGTACGGAGACATTGCATAGAGATCTGTTGCAGAGATCTTGCCAGGACACCTCTTATGGAGACCTTGTACAGGGATCTTGCCAGGACACCTCTTATGGAGACCTTGTGCAGAGACATTCCATAGAGATCTGTTGCAGAGATCTTGCCAAGAGGTCTCTTACATAAATCTTGCCAAGAGAACTCTTCTAGAGAGCTTGTACAGAGGTTTCATAAAGAGATCTTGCACGGAGACATTGCATAGAGATCTGTTGCAGGGATCTTGCCAGGACACCTCTTATGGAGACCTTGTACTGAGACATTCCATAGAGATCTGTTGCAGAGATCTTGCCAAGAGGTCTCTTACATAAATCTTGCCAAGAGAACTCTTCTAGAGAGCTTGTACAGAGGTTTCATAAAGAGATCTTGTACGGAGACATTGCATAGAGATCTGTTGCAGAGATCTTGCCAAGAGACGTCTTATAAAGATCTTGTACAGGGATCTTGCCAGGACACCTCTTATGGAGAGCTTGTACTGAGACATTGCACAGAGATCTGTTGCAGAGATCTTGCCAAGAGGTCTCTTACATAAATCTTGCCAAGAGAGATTTTACAGAGAACTTGCACAGGGATCTCACAAAGAGATCTTGCCAAGGATCTCTTATAGAGATCTTGTCCAGGAGGTCTTGCCAAGACACCTCTTCTAGATATCTGTACAGAGATCTTGCCAAGAGGTCTCTTAGCGAGATCTTGCCAACAGAGCTCTCATAGAGATCTTGTGCAGAGATCTTGCCAAGAGGTCTCTTTTAGAGATCTTGTCCAAAGCTCTTGCCAAGAGACCTCTTATGGAGATCTGTTGCAATTATCTTGCCAAGAGGCCCCTTACAGAGATCCTGACAAGAGACCTCTTATAGAGATCTTGTACGGAGATCTTGCCAGGATACCTCTCATGGAGACCTTGTACTGAGACATTGCATAGAGATCTGTTGCGGAGATCTTGCCAAGAGGTCTCTTACATAAATCTTGCCAAGAGAGAGCCTTTATAGAGAGTTTGTGCAGGAATTTCAAAAAGAGATCTTGCCAAGAGATCTCTTATAGAGATCTTGTCCAGGAGGTCGCCAAGAAACCTCTGGTAGAGATCTGTGCAGAGATCATGCCAAGAGGTCTCTTACAGAGATCTTGCCAACAGAGCTCTTATAGGGATCTTGTACAGGGGTTTTGCCAGGAGACCTCTTTTGGAGATCTCGTGCAGAGACCTGGTGAAGAGAGCAAAGGTCTTGCTCGGAGATCATTTATAATTAGATAGTAGCTTAAACAGAGATCTTGCTTTGAGATCCCTTACAAAGATCTCCTGTGGAGATCTCCTATAGACACTTTGTACAGCCCTACACAGGGATCTTGCACAGCAGCTTCTACAGAGAACCTGTTAAGGAGATCTTGCGCACGATCTTCTACAGAGATCTTCGCAAAGGGAACTTGCAGAATCTTACCTGGTATCTCTTCTTTTCACTACTATGGTCGCTCTGGTCCTGCTAGCTTGCAGCCACTGATGCTTTTAGGTCCGCCTTTCCCTTTCAGATCCAACTACACACTGTTTGGGCCATGTTTGGGGTCTCTTGCCGGGATAATTTTGATGGTTTCCTGAAATGGAGGTGCCCCCAGATCATCAATTTTAATAGGATTTTCTATTATAAACCATCCATTTCGGGTATCCCCATTTATGGAAACCTCCATTTGGGACTCAAGTCATTCCCCCAGTGGAAATACGGCAGCTTCGCCTTCTCGGCGGCCAGCTGTCTGGCCAAGTGCGCCACGTCCAGGTGCTCTTGCAGCGCGCGTTCCTTTCCGACGTCGACGCGTGAACAACAGTTAGACACTGAACTTACGGGGATTCAAGCAACAAAAACCCATCATGAATGATGGTGATTTAGAGGACTTACCCATCATGAAATGATTGTGATTTAGCGGATAACCAACAAAACACCTTGACAAAAACCAGGTGGTTTTTCAACCACTGGGATTTTTCCTAAGAAACATGGCAAACCAGCAAAAACCAGCTACAACAGGGAGTCTTTTCAGCAGCACCATGGAGATCCAATCGACTTTGTCGTGGGGATGTGACCATCAAACATGATTCATGATGACTTAAAGTTACACAGAGAACAAACTTACGGGGATTTTAGACACACCCCACTGAAAATCGGATCCTGGTGCGTGCTAAACGTAGGGTTGCTGGGGGTTGCTGGGATGATGAATGTCCCAGCAACCCTACGTTTAGCAAGCACCAGGATCCGATAAAGGCTCGTTGGCGACTCTGAAGAAAACGGATCCCCCGATTCCAACGGATGTTTTTTAGTACCATCCCCATTGACATGGCCATTATATATTACCCTCTGGATCCCTCTGGTATATTAACATAGACGCTGGCAGTCATCGGGGTCGGAAGACTAGTGAAACCACTATAAATTGGTCATTTTCAGGGTCAACAAGTAAATTTTCCAGAGGGTATATATAAATGCGTATACCCTATTTTCTGACACACGCATTTGACACAACCAATAAAGGGGGGAATGAGAAACTCTGAAACTTTGGCAAACATAGGAATATGTAAATTCATATCAATATGACTATATTCAAATTCTACTGAACTATGATTTATTGAGTGCATATTTGCACATATTTGCACACATGTTGCCAACCTATGACATGAACATCAAGGATTAGGGCTGAGATCATGGTCTTTTTCGCGAGCAACGTGGTTCGTTGGGAATAAGGGATTTCTAGAACACAAGGTATGACCCTGACCCCGTCCTTGTTGGTAGCAGCTGGGAAGGAACTTTGGCATTCAGGCGCTGTGTGTCGCTTTGTGGTAGGTTAAAACTAATCAGGAAAAAAATGGAAATCAAATTTCTGAGATGACCCAGGAACGGAGTTCGCCGGAGTTCGTCGGGGTTCGTCGGGGCCGAATTTGCTACGTGAAAATGTTGTTGCCAAAGTGGAAAAACTGGTTATAAAAATGCGATTTTACTTTCTGCGTGCTGTTTTTCCATGCGTTTTAGGGGCGAAAACGTCAAAACACACGTAGGAAATGTTTGGACATCTTTGCGCGCAAGGTTAAGTTCGTCGGAGTTTGTCGGGCTTAAAGTTTTACAGACTGCGTAAAGATCTTTACCAAAAGTGTCACGAATATTCTTTCCAAGGCCAGATTGAAACTGGAAATTGTTATTGTTCTGCTGGTCCACCTGGTTCAGTCTTATGCATTTCGGCAGACCTTATTCCCTACGAACCCGCAAGCTCGCGAAAAAACCCATGAGATCATTTCCCCTATCTAAATTTCCCAGTATTATTCTATATATTATTTTTATATAGCCTTCAAATTCAAATATGTCCGGACTCTCGAATTTCTACGTGGTACGGGAGAGTTTCCCGTACATTTTTTAACCATTTCCTAGATGTAGTGAGTTCGCAGTGAGGCGATTGTGGCCCTGATCCCTTCAAATCTTCAACTGGCATCTTCCCGTGAAATCGACAAAAATCACCAGCCAATCGACTGGCACAAATAAGGCGCTGGTCACCTCCCTATTTTGATGGTGATATGGTGGACCAAAAGGACACATCAAGGGCCCCAGGGCGGCTCTTTGGGATGGGAACTGGCACGGGGCTCTAACAAAAGCAGGCTGAGACAGCCATGAATTTTTCTGCAGTATCTATCGCCGTTTTTTCTTGGTGCCTCTTTAAAGTTCCTAGCCCTCGTAAATAACGATAAAGTTAAGAACCACCCAAGCATAGTGTGAGAAGCCCTTCAAACTGGGGAACCAAATGTGGAACATCGTGATAAAATATGAAACTACCTCGTTGTGGTTGTAAGAGCCTCTTGTTGGAGGATAGAACCACAAAGGGTGAAAAGTGAGCAGCGGAAGAACCCCCTGCTGAAACTGCATCACAGGGCTTTGTAGATAGGAGATCTCAATCATCCAGTTCTCTCCTAATGAAGGGTACAAGCCCTTAATGGATCTATATATCTTGGTCTCGGTTCAGCTTTGTATGAAATATCTCACAATATGAAAATCACAACATTGAACCAGCCCCGCTTTACCGAGTGGTCGCTTCTCTTCCCCATCAGTCCAGTTTTTAGGTCCTGCGCTGTGGAGACTTTCTCCTGCTCCACTCTTTGCTTCTTCTCCTGTTGAGCTGATGCCAACCGCGAGGTCCTACACTGCATTCTGTAGTAACTTTTTGGCATTCTGCTGTATCAATTGGGGCACTATTTTGCAGCTGTTGTCCCCATTATGAATCGTTGATTGTACGCACCATGGTTACAACAACATCGCAACACTGAAACCACTGACCAGTTGGCAGCCCCGAGTTCCTTGGACTTTTGCAGTGGATGAAATCATAGAAAATCCATGGACACACATGTTTTTTTTGTCGCGGAAATCATCTATGAATGGGGTATCCGGGCTTCATGGTCGACCCTTAGTCTTCTCTTGATACGCAATTTCTGCCCTCCCTATCAAAAAAAAGTTTTCTCAAGTTTTCCCAATCCCATGCAGAAATACCCCAAATTGATCCAAATTGCTTTTTGGGATACGGTAATACCTAAAACCTGACAAGACTTAGGGATCTTGTGCTGAAATTATATTGTTAATCGAAATTTTCCTGAAAAAATATCTACTGCATTTTGTATTCCCAATAAACATCCGAAAGACAAATGGTAAACAGAGAAATATTGAGAGTTTTTTCACAAAACACATATGGACGACCTACAATGGCAAACCTATTTATGTTAATTTAGCATATTTTAGTGACACCTTCCTCGAATTCTGGGTAAATCCAACAATGGTTTTTTCAAAAGAAGTTCCATTTCTCATCACTAATCTTGTCGTCATTTTATCCCCTGATTATCCCATAATTTTCCCGCTGAATTCCAGACATTTATCCCATGGATTCCCATAAAAAGGCCTCCCGCAGGTGCTGGACATGATCCACCTTCTCACGCACTAAGGCCTGGCGCAAGCCATAGAAATAACGGGACTTGACTTGACGATTTGACATGACTCGTTTGACATGTTTTACCTATGTTTTGATATGATCTAACTATGATTATTATGATCTTTAAACATGATTTAGCTATGATGTGACACAAGTTAATAATGATTTGACTATGTTAAAAAACTATGTGACGTGTTGGTAAGTGGTGAACTTAAGCCATTGTTAACTGGTGCAAAACTCTCACAACTGGATGAACAAAATGTGTTTCTCCTCGCCATTTGGAAGTTGGTTATAACTTGGTTGAGTGTTGGGTGTATGGTAGATATATCTACCTTATCTACCCTTAGATGGCTCTATAAACCAAAATACACATCACTCAAAAGCGCCACCTTGTAGAATGACCAGCCATGAAAATCAGCAGTCACTGTAGTACGTTAAACATTAGTCCATTTCCATGGCTAATCTTAGAGACTTAGCGGCAAACAAGCAATCAGTTGCTTGGCCGCTTGGCCTTTTTACATATTGTATATATATATATAATTATGATTATTTATACTGGTTGGTGGTTTTAACCATCTTGAAAATATGAAAGTCAATGGGAAGGATGACATCCCATATATGATGGAAAATAACATTCATGTTTGAAACCACCAACCAGCCATAGAAATAGTGGATAAAAACATGGGTTTACCCAGCTATGACATGGTGATTTTCCAGTCCATTCATGGATGCTTAGTTTCTGCTAAGTTTCTGCAGTTTTGAAGCCAATGTCAGACCAAGGGGGTCCGATCCCAGACCTGTTCTTGTTCCACGGCTTCTTGCGCCCTGGCGACATTCCATGCAGAGTCCTGCACCGAGGTGGCTAAGATTTACCCCAAAAATGGCTGTGGGAGATCTTTGGAGCAACGGAGTTAGGATGGTTTTGGGGTAAATCCCACAGAACTCTTCTCTTTCGTCCCCGTTTGGTGTCTCAATCAGCCTGGCTGGATTTCCCCCAATGCTTCAAGTCAAGTTACGTAGGAAACGTGCTAGTTCTATGCCACGTAATAACCATTAACAAGCCCCATGGATTCCAGGTGTGCTACCAGCTGTCCTTCTTGCGGTCGTGGTAGACCTGGAGCTGGGCAACTCGGGATACCGTGCAGTTGAAGCTATTAATAGGTATAAAACTATGATGACACTTGGGGGGCGGGCCTAGTCAGTTATAGCCTATGTAAGTATGGTTCATGATGGTTATATCTTAATCATTCTTAATCTAGAACTGGAACTGCACTTCCAAAAGCCAACGGCTTCGCCAGCTATGCGTTTCGGGAATCCGATGATATCTTCATCGGATGGCCTCAACAAAAAACAGAAAGCGGTCAGTGTCACTATTTGGGCGACATCACCAAGATAGATAGATTTCATATAACACTATATGTATATAATTAAATATAATTCTATACATATAGCTATATATAAATAATAAATCCATATAATTATACATATATTTACACATATGCATATATATATATAAAGATAATATCTGGAATTCAAGTGACCCTGCTCTCAAAGGTTTTCAAAGAATCGGGGGCTAACCACCAAATCTGGCCCACGTACATATGGCTGTCGGAATTGGGGTACCCAGAGATAGATCGCTAATACTACACAACTAAACCAAAATCTGCAGTCCCCCTATTTGCGTATCATACACTATTGTTATAACATAGACCCCAACCTAAGCTATTGATATTATTATACACTATTGTTATTGATAACCAATAGTTATTTGCACCAATCTTAGCTAACGCAGCTAACCTCCCATCATCCCCCAAGTCTGCCACTGACCTCAGTTTGCAGCTGCAACTCTTCCTCTTTGGTCCTGAATGGGAAAAGGTGCCATTCCTACTGGGGAAAATATGTCACGAACATCCCCAAAATCATGGATTAAGATACCAAATATTGAAGACATGGTTTATCATCATGGATTATCCTAAATTATTTAAATTATCCAAAATTAAACTATGATAAACCCCACAACTGCTCATGGATTCTTGGATAAGAATCAACTCATATTCGAAACGGCGACAGAATGGGTACCGCCGAGCCCCAGGGATCCTTCATTTGTTCATCAAACATCTGGTGAATGATTGTCGACCAATGGGGAAAAAACAACAATAACGAAGGAATAACTGGTTGGTGGTTTCAACCTACCCCTCTGAAAAATATGAGTTCGTCACTTGGGATGATGATTCCCAACTGAATGGACAAATATTATGGTCACATGGTTCATTTTTACCGACGCACCATTTTGATCAATACTCACATTTGATCAACACACCAATGATGCATACACGCACATTTTACAAATGCTTCATGTGAGGAACCCTCTTTGCAACTACACCACATGAAGCCCATCAGCAGTGTGTATGCGACGTTGATTCATGTTATTCGATTATCTTGGTTAAGAACGGGATTCCAAGTTTATGGATGATGATATTCCCCAATATATAAAGGGTAATAGGTTAATAAAGCTGGACGGAATCAACCAACAGGGGTGTCCCACGCAGCGGCCATGCACTTCACTGGTCACAAGCTGCGGTAGTTCGAATCCTTGAAACTTGAGACGGACACAACATATCATATACCATCTGGTTATTTAACATAGCGATGGAAAATCCCTGATAAATGGAGGTTTTAATGGGGAAATCATCTATAAATGGACCATTTTGCATGGCTATGTTAAATAACCAGAGGGTAATTACGGCAAGACCCTATGGTTTGCCCGCAAGGTTAGAACGGAGTTCAACTATGTTCAATTTCGACATGCTCACAAACCTGCGCGGTTGGCCAGTGTTTTGGTATTTGCGAGACGACGAACCCTAAAACCCTAAAACCCTAAAACACTGAAACCCTAAAACCCTGAAAACTCTGAATCCGAAAGCAGAAAACACTGCGGTCTACGCAGTATTTTCTGCAGTTTCTCTTCTGTTCGACGACAGGGAATCCTCAATCTTGCCGGGCAAACCACCGGGGTCTGTGCGTATAAAAAATATGATGCCACAACGAGCTCTAGAATGAGAATGTCATATCCCAATCTCACTGTCTGATGTTTGCTGGTGTATTGAAAACCAACCATGGACCATCATCAACCTATCCCCATCTTTTTGGCAAGATTCTTGAAAACATCCTGGTTGGACCCACTTGAACACAATCAGCCCATCATTGATCATTCCAAGGAATGAAACAGAAATCCTCGACACAGATGTTTGAACATGATTCGCGAAATTCCCTGACCAGCAATCGATTCACTGCAGAAAACTAAGCACACAACTTTTTCAAGACCTCCTCTATTCTTCCTCCCGCGTCTCCTGAGCTTTGCTTCGCGCTTGAATTTCAAAAAGTCTTTGGACTCCTGGACGTGACGCCACTGGTGGTTTGCACAGCCATGATGGCAAAATTACCACCACCATCCACCACCCACCTCAGGTTGATATATCTTTTTAGATGATGGGTGTTTAGTTAGTCAACCAAGATCAAGTGATGAAACTGGCATAAGCTGCTATAATCTGGCTTGATTCTTGAAAAACCCAAAGGATTTCAAAGGTGTTGGTGGATTTCTTCATCAGCCCGGCACTGTGTTCGGCCTATGGTACCTTCTGTCAGTGGTAGAAACACAAACATGAGTCATCCATGCTACAGTAGTATGCCTTTGGCAAAACAGCAACACTTCGCAGTTATCCTCTCTTACTTACGCTACCACTTTCTACATCATTCTTCAAAATAGATCTAAAGCTGCCTAAGATTTTCCAATTAAACGCGGATCCAAATATTCCATCACAACAAAGCTGACCATCTTCACCAGGTCAGAAACGAGAGACGGACCATCGGACCTGGAGATCGTTCACCTTGGCTTCCTGCGCCCTTTGCACTGCCAAGGCCTTCATTCCTTCAGCCTGAACGACGCATAAAAGGGATGCTGAGCTTTAAGGCAAGAAATAGGAGGCAACACAATATATCGTGTAAAAATACAAAAATGGTTGTTGATCAAAATTCCTTTATCCGGGAACGGCCATTCTTCGCGAATAAACAAAATTTCTATGTATATATATATTATAGTGTATTTATGTATAGTTCATATTAAGGAATACCTATATTCACCAAAATTATCTACATGAATCATTAATCAATCATGTTTCGCAACAAAAACATAAATAACCAAGCATGATACGGGGGAAGTGCTGTGTAAGTAACAGCAAACTAAACAAACATGTGAGGGGGTTCTATTCCTTGGAAGGACTTGGAAGGACTTGGAAATACTACTGGCATAGGGAGGAATCGTGTCCTTCCGATTGGTTGGATGATGAATCGAGTGCAGGATCCGACGCTTCTTCTCCCCTATGAAGACTGTGTATCTCCCAGATATATATAGAGATAGGGACCCGAAAATCGCGCCGTTGTCAACCATTGAGCAAGGTCAAACATCATCGTCAGTTGTTTTCGTCGAGCGGTCGTCCAACGGCCAGAGCTCTAGGAAGATCTGACCACGAAACCGACAGTTTTTTTGGCCTCCGAATTGGAAGAATTAATAAGAACTATGTGGAAACTCGTGGAAATATCATTCGTGCCATAGGCATCCATAGGCCATAATGGGGCCATAATGGGGCCATATCATGCCATAATTACTCAACAAATATCCTTTCGTTATCCTTTCGTTCATGACTTTCTTCCAGCTCAAAATTGTGGACTCAGATCAGACCGTGAATTTCAGCCTGGAGCTTTTGTCCAACATCTCATCTCGACTTCCAGCAGGGACCGTCAACTGGGGGTGCTTTTCCATCACGAATCAAGCATCATTAAATGATATTCAATGGATTGGTTTAAGGCTACAAGAAAGCATGGTTTTTACTTTTTACCATCAGATATATGTCATGTACAATATTGCCATATATAAGGGTTTCCTGCAGATTTTCTCATTTCCAATTCTGAACATCATATGAAATCGTTTAATGGTGAGGAGGTCGCAAAAAAAATCCGGCACTTAAAGCACCGAAACACACAGCGCGCCTGCTTCCAGCGCCATTCGCGAAGCTCACTTTGGGTGGCAATCGTCTGCGCCAGCTTGTCCTTCCGCTCCTGGCAACGAGAGAACGTGATTTGGGGGGATGGTTTTGTATTGTTTTTTCCATCAATTTTTCATCGTTTTTCCATCAATCCCAGCTATTTTGTGGCGGGAATTCCATGGGATGTGACCCAGAACCATCTACTGAATACCCATCAGGTGGTTTATTACCCAACTGCAGTTCTAATCCCTTCCTCCTAGTTATTCCACATCCCCGTTACGGTCCCAAAAATCTGTAAATTTATCCCCCAAACGCGATGGAATTCTGCTGGAAAGCAGCCACAGTTGTTCTGGCCCCATCGCACCTCTCGATTCACCTGCCACTTGGTCTTTGATTCCACCTCGTTTCCATCCGCTTGCCCGAGAGCGGTCAATTATGGTAAAATGATCTGCTTCTGAAATATCCCATGGCGAAACAAACCACTTGAACCACCATGAAAATCCATGGAAATCCGTTGCGATTCCACCAAAACAAATCCATACAAATCCCTGTGTTCGTATGTTTTCGTCCATGTGATTCGCACGAAATCCCAACTGAAGTGCGTTTTCTCATGGGAATCCCCATCCTGGATGATAGATCTCTGGGTCTTCTCTTCAGGTCCGTGTCAGAGTCCAGATTTCGCACCGTTTGGGGGTCCCAAAACCATGATTCAACCTAGGAGTCCTATGATGATTAATGATGATGAATGATGATTATATAATGATGATTGATGATAACATATGATAACTAAGGATTCGTGATGATTAAGAGAATATTATTTGTGATTAAGTATGATCAATCGATGATGAATTGACACCATGCCATCATAAACCTTCGTGATATCAGTGGAGACCACCAAAGAACAGTAAAACTGGTGGATTTTGATTGGGAAACTCGACTAAAACGTAGCTGCAGTAGCCACGTAAAAAACCATTCGGCAACAGCCGTTTTAGCTCGTCTGGTTGTCAACTATCTTCAGGACTTCACGGTGATTCCAGGCCCCCACATTAAGTACCCCCAGCAAGGCCTAAGGGGCCTCTAAAATGAATCAAAGCCATAAAAGCACCCAGGCTATCCAGGGGGGCCATTTTTCCGTGCAGAGCTTGGCTGCAGCATATACCACTGCACTAACATTGGCATCAGGAGCACTAACAGGGCCATACGGACAAGGGTAACTTATAACATAATATAGTCTCAGAACATCATCAGAACATACCGACTTTTATTACAAATCAGCACATCATCAGAACATCATCAGTTATAATTATATATCTAATACTTTTGTATCATCATTCAATAAATCTGGATGATATAATTATCATAATCTGGATATTAACATCTGGTAGTGTCATTTTATAATCTGGATATCATAATCTGCCAGCTACATACCTGGTGGGTCAAAGGCCTGGATGTTTTCTGGTGTCGTAACAGTGATCTCAGGGCCCCGCGGCACGGATTTCGCGCACCTGGAGAAACTGGTGACTGCTGGCTGCTCACAAGGCACGCAAAGGATTTATCATGCCAACATGTCTCTGATTGCTGGTAGTTTCTGAAAATTTGAGTCACATGATACTTACACTATACACTGATACTTCCCCAAGCAGCACTTCCTTTGGCACCTCCTTCTTAGTTTCTGCGATCATTCGTTTCAATTCCTGCACAAATCCATCACTTTGGCATGGGCAAGAGACTAGATCAGTGATACATGCAAAGCTTCTGTCCAACCCACTTCATGAATCTTCATGATATACCCATTGGATAGCATACTACAATACATATGTGTATATCTTTAGGTATGTATGCATGTATGCTTGCATGCATGCATGTAGGTGTGTATGTATTACAGTATGTATGATGTGTGTTTATGTATGCAGGTAGCTCGGTGGGCAGGCAGACAGGCAGGCAAGTAGAATGTAGGCCTATATGTTTGCATATCTGTATATGTGTATGCAAGTATGTGTACATCATAGAACAAAATATAGTATAGAACATATATAATACAGTACGATACCATGAACAATACTCATAATGTATATATATATAGTTATATATATAATTATATATATAATCATATATATATATTACATTCATACTATTTCATACTTATAAGATCTTGTAAGTACGTTCATACTTATAAGTGCTATCCCGTTCCCGTTCTGCTGGATGTCCTCCACCGATGGCAAGTCCATGGCTGTTGCAGGAGATCCTGAAAAAAACGGCTCGGATTTTTGCCGTTGGCCACAAAAACCATGGTTGGTAAGAAATGATGGTTAGAAATGGTGAAAATGATGTCTTGTAATGCTTGTAATGATATTGTAATGGGTTTAACATGATTGATCATCGTGACTTGTCCGGTGTCATCAAACATAGAAAAAATAAGGATATCCCCAAGTGCTGCATGGAGGTTTCCATGGGAAAATCATCTATGCGCGCAGCATTGGAAAACCGTGTTGTTAGTCATACTCATTGGGAAATGATACTGAGAATAAAGAACATTTCAGCCCAATAATTAACATAATAACATTTGTCCGTCTCTATTCTTGGAAAACCATTTTGCCAATTATATGATCAACTTCGGTTTGTTTCTAGGGTGGATGTCAAACAACCACCAGTCATCGCTTTTCACTGGTTGTATCAATGAAATGATCTTTGAACAACTCCAAACCGTAGCTTTTTCTGACAAAAAAAAATTGCAACTCTCTGGAGGAACTAATCACATAAGAAACCTCATGAAATCTTTGTCATGCTCAATTTGGAGTCTTCCTGAAATGGGGGTACCCCAAAATGGTCGGTTTACAATGGAAAATCCTACTAAAATTGATGATTTGGGGGTACCATGGGGTACCCCTGAAGATTTCATTACCTAATTAACCGCACACGTTCACGCATCAACAGCATCAATTTTTTTTTCGCATGTCTAACCCCACTGATATATTACACCATCAGAGAATTAGCCAAGACTGGTGTAAACATGTGTAAACTCCAAATCTTCTGGCTACCAGAAATCCAACTTGAACATCCTCAAATCACCCGTATTTGAACCTTTGAAGTCACCTCAAACCCATCTTGAAATATTCTTGGCACAGAACAAAAAACAAAACCTTGTTGGTGGTATACCTACCCCTTTGAAAAATATGAAAGTCAGTTGGGATGATGACATTTCCTAATTTTTTGGGAAAATAAAATTCATGTTCCAAACCACCAACCAGAAACACCCCCAACCCCCACAACATCACCCCCACACGTGCCACGTTTTTGGGACGCCGTCCTGGTGTCCCGCTACCAGTGCGCACCAACTGGCTGGCGCTCTTGGAGGTCCCAAGGGTCCCGCCACGGGACGACAGCGTGGTGCTCGAGGACCTTGTAGGCCTGGATAGAGATGGAGGTCGTTGGGAAACCCATCCAAATTCCCTTCCCCCTATTACTAAAGTTACTAAACCTCCCCCAAAAACTACCTGAGGTGTTTATTGAGGGGAGGGCGTTTAGTATTAGGGGGAAAGGATTAAATGATACATGGTGGATTGTGTGCCATGTTTTAAACCTGAGGGAAAAAAAGAGGTAACACACATATGACCATGCTTTCCTTGGATTATTATATATGATTACGAACAGAGTTGCGTGTCGAAATGTTTTGCGCGCGAAATGGCTAAAACATTCAGCAAAAAAGTGGAGGTACTGAACCATCGTTGCACTTCCAAGAAAACTAGTTGCTTTGTTTTTAATCTATCCTCTAAAACCTACTTATATTATACAGCTAAATTCATATCTATTTACAACAGTGTGAAATGGGATGATCATGCCAGATACTGTAGGATTCCAAAAAAAATGAAAATATTTGGAAACATTTGGAAACAAACTATTTGAAGCGTTGTGAAACAAACAAACAACCAACATGGAAAGTTAACAACGGAAATTGACACATGAATTTTAGATTGTCTTTTTGATATGGTATCACATGTTTGCACTATTACCCATGTTGTCTATCACTTGTCAAATTTTAAATGACAACCCACCCAGCTAGGTACATCAATGGGACTGCGCGGATAGATGATTTCCAAGATTTTTTCAACGAAAAAATGGTCGCCTATTGGTATTACCTGCTCATATCATGCACTATTGGCCCGTGTATGCTTTTGGCATCTTTTGGCTGCATATTTGATCTTTGGGCGATGCTTTCTGGAAGTCTGTCTGTGTAAACACGTGCCACACGTGTATTATGTAGGTGGATGAATGCGAAGAGTTTAATTCACATAAACAACGCACAGCAGGCAACAAACCCAACCATAGCTATACCCACCAATCTCAACCCTTCACTGCAACTCAACCCGCTGGTGCCTTGGTGAAACTCGAGATTGGCTTCGACCCAGCGTGTCACCATCAGATCTTCTCACACTCTGTGGTCTTACCGTCGGAGTTTGAGTTCTCCTAGCACTCTGAGGTCTGGCGGCCCTGGCAGTTTGAGGTCTCGCCAAATTGCGTTGGCTGCTGCCCAAACTCCTTTCCCGCACGCCCCGGGCAGCCGGCGCTGGCGGGGTGGGGGTTACGGCCGCAGGTCTGCTGGCGGGCGCTGTGAGGCTCTGCCCGGTCCGGCGGGGTGCCGGCCGCGGCGAGACCTGCCGTGGCTGCGCGGGGCTGGCGGCGCGGGCAGTGGCGGGGCGAACATCCTGGCTCTTGGAGGAACGAAGGCCACAAGATTCGCCTGGCGACCAGTGATCGAAGGATTCTGGAAGGTATCAATGGATTGGATTAAGGGAAGTCCTACATGAAACCATGGCTTTCAAATGATTTCTGTAATTTTTCCCTTAAACTGATCCAGTGAACTTAGGGTCAGTTCTTGGGGTGTAGCATAAAAAAATGATTGAATCATGAACGCACATTTGAGAATTGCTAACAACAATCATGATACAAGATAGACCTCCAAAACACGGTATCCCAAAGCGAAATGGTCCAAAATAACATAAGACTCATAAAACCCCAAAACGAATTCTCGCGACAACCTAAGTTTACCCAGTAACAAAGCGCTGTACAAGGTGTCTATAGGAGATCTCCACAGAAGATCTATCTGTGTAAGGGATCTCAAAGTAAGATCTTTGTTCAAACTATGTAATAATGATCTCCGAGCAAGACCTTTGCTCTCTTCACCAGGTCTCCGTACAAGATCTCCAAAAGAGGTCTCCTGGCAAGATCTCTGTACAAGATCTCTATAAGAGCTCTGTTGGCAAGACCTCCCGGACAAGATCTCTATAAGAGATCTCTTGGCAAGATCTCTTTATTAGATCTCTGTACAAGCTCGCTATAAAAGCTCTCTTGGCAAGATTCATGTAAGAGACCTCTTGGCAAGACCTCTGCATCAGATCTCTATGCAGTGTCTCTGTACCAAGGTCTCCATAAGAGGTGTCCTGGCAAGGTCTCTGTACAAGATCTCTGTATGAAACCTCTGTACAAGCTCTCTAGAAGAATTCTCTTGGGAAGATTTATGTAAAAGACCTCTTGGCAAGATCTCTGCAACATATGCAATGCCTCTGTACAAGATCTCCATCAGAGGTATCCTGGAAAGATCTCTGTAGAAGATCGCTTTAAAAGATGTCTGAGCAGGATCGCTGCTCTCTTCACCAGGCCTCTGTACAAGATCTCTATCAGAGGTCCTCTGGCAAGATCTCGTGCAAGAACTCTATAAGAGCTCTGTTGGCAAGATCTCTGACCAAGATCTCCAGAAATTCCAGAAGAGGTCTCTTGGCAAGATCTCTGTACAAGCTCCCTACAAGAAGTGTCTTGGCAAGATGTCTGTGCGAGATTTCTCGTTTTGTGCGAGCCTGCGCAGTCGAAAAGCTATTTTTAAAGGACAAATGCCAAACGCTAAGGATACCACCTAGATTGAACACCGGGCCTTAACAGTTACCGTAAGAACCCTCAGTGTGGCCACACTCTTTGTTTGGGGAAAAAACACATTCCTATTGCTTTATAGGTTCCCCAAATGGTGGATGTATCAAGTCATCCCTTGTAATCCGTTCCCCCTCAGAATCGACACCAGTCTACACCCGGTGGTGGAGTGTTTTGGCTCTATTCATGACCTGGGATCGCTCTAATGGGGGGTATGTAGTGGGGGGAATGGATTGATTATCAGGGGTAGGTTTTTTGTTTCATCTTGGGCTCCAGAGGATCTTTTTTTGGAAGCGAAGAAAGACATTTTTCATGATATGTGCCATAGTCAAAACATGGTAAAGGGGTTATGGTTATCACGCAACATGGTAAAGCATATGAAACCCTACAAGGTGAGGCCCCCCAGTTCATGAAAACAACATTTGTAAACCCACCAACATAGGAGTAGTTCATTATATCCCATAAAAACTATGGTTAAACAAATGATGTGCCACAACTTAGCTGTCACTTAAATCAACTATATAAATCCCATTCAATCCCCATGTTTGTCTGTTTAATTCTCCATGTTGAACACTTTTTGGTTCCAGTGGAATGGGTGGATGACCATCCCCTTCTATGGGAACCCCATGTGAAACGCCTTGTCCCATCGCCATGCGTCGCGGGGCGCCGGGCGGAGCCGCCACGGAGCCAACCTCAGTGATGGTGACCGACACGAACACCTAAATTCTGATAATACCTGTTCTTACATATTTTCTATGTATTTAATGTATTTGTTGCTTCCATGATACCTGACTTAATACAAATATAAGAAATAAAGAACTATGTATATAATTATATATAATTACACACATTTCACACTAAGCCGGTTGTGCAACAGATTTACTGCTGGATGATGAATTGTATATCCTTGCAATTTTCAAATTTCAGCAAATGATTTCAGCATACAACAAACCCATCCTTCAGCCTTCAACTAGCTTGCACCATATCTCAAACTGTGGGTCCTACATGGCTCTTGAATTTCCAAAACCAAAGCATGTCTAAAAACACACTGGCAGCTGCTTTCACCCTGTCTCACGCCACCCCATCTCAACCCATGCCATCTCCGCTCATCTCACCTCTCATGCCATCTCCTTCCATGCCACCACATCTCATCCCATTTAAGTTCATTTCATCCCACATTACCTCCTCCACTGCCATCTCATCCCATCACACCTTATTTCATCTCTTTTCCAAGACGTGAACTTCCATGCCCCCAACCCTTAATATTGTATATTCGATTTGATGGAAAGAATCATGTTTCCAGGTGAAAGCCGCCCCTCTTGGCTGATCAACTCACTTCTTACTACTCCTCTTCTGGTGGGTCCTGGGCCATCAAATCCCTGAAGACAACCAACGGTGGTGGTGTCTAGGTGCCGCCCGTGGCTGGCCACATCTGTGTAAGACTGGGCAAACCCTTCATAGGCTTCCTTGGCAGCCAGGGCCTACTCCAATACACCCATGAAAAGTTGGGGCCCAAGCTGGCACCCAATGGGCGTGGTGAAGGGGCAGAAAAACATCTTCACCGCCCCCCTCATGTATTCACAGGCTACTTGCTGTGACAGCACTGCTTGCAGCACTTTCCTTGATCCGCTGGAGGGGGTCAGGCGTCAGCTGTTTTTGCAGTACACATGCCTCATTTGCCTCACCTGAAAATGAACTTGTCCTCCTCAGCCTCAGGGTCTGTTTGCTTGAGAAGGAAACCTTGCATGGTGAGGGCTCTTTGTGGCTTGGCCCACATGTATAAAGCCCGTGCTGCCATCTCCTTGCTTTGGTACGAGTGGGACTGGTTCTACCTTCTCCCCTGGGCCAAAAAGCTTCTTGTAAAGATTGTGCCCTTTTGCCTCTGCTTGTTCTGGCAGTGGCGGTGCTTGTGGAAGGGGAGCTTTTTTTTTTCTGTCTTTTTCAGCTCCTCGCTGACCATTCCACCACAGCCAAAACCCACAATGCCCTGCATGCTGTTAATAGAAAACTAAAAGGATTTCCCCTTGTTCCTGGTCCTTCCACCCCAGCCCAAGCCCACAATGCCCTGGATGCTGTTTCTGGATTGGCGTAGGACACTAAAAAAAACCTCTTGTTCCTGGCCCATATCCTACTAGGTACTGGAATTGCATCACGTTTCTCGCAATTTCTTTTCTGGCCCTGTGATCTTTCATGTCCACCTCCTTGGGGCCAGGGCAACAGGTGCTTGTGGTGGCTGTGCTCGTGCTGGAGGTGCTTCTGGGAAATGCTAATGTTTCCTCAGCCATGCCTGGCACCGAGCTGGGGTTGTTTTGGCTGTCTCCCTGATGTTCCTTTTCCACCTTTTGTCCTTTATTTGTTTCTTTCCCTTCTTCTCCTTTCTCTTTTTTCTATCTTTTCTTCCTGCTCTTTCTTTTCTTTCTTTTCCATCTTTTCTTTCATGGCACCCTTCCTGGCACTCTGCATGGCACACTGCATGGCACACTGCATTCACATAATTTAGATGCGAATTCGGGATTACGCCAGGAAGAAAATCAATGAATTTAATCTATCAAACATGGGAAACTAATCAAAGAATATCGGGACTCAATTTGATTTGACATGGCCAACATGTTGAATTCTGAGAAATTTCACCCAAACATAGTGAGTAGAGGAAGAACAACCAAAGGGTATATAACTCAACCGGCTGGGGATCTCAGCAAAAGCTCCAACAACGGAATGAAACGGTGGAAACTGTGGCGGTTCTGGCTGGGAAGAATTAAGAAGGGTTTTTTGATGGTCGGCCTCGTATAATATACTCAAGACATCTCAAGATTGGTTGTTTTTTATAGATTTAAATAGATTTAAATAGATGTTAGTCAATCGATTCATCAGCCAATTAATATAATTAATGGCAAGGGACATGTCTGGGTTGAAGTAGCACCCTCCTCAACACTCCAACACTTCAACCTGGACCTCATCATGATCATCATCATCATGATCATCAATATCCCCATTCCCCAGGCCGCACAATCATCGCCCACGAGGAACTTGTCGGACTGGAATGCTTCGACCTTCTTGCATGAGCATCCATCAGGGAAGGCACATGAACATGGATCAAGTTTTGGGTGCTGTTTTTACAGTGTTCGGATCATCCCACGACTCGTGCTCGTCTTTAGTAACAGGATGGAACTGGGCTTAGTTCACCCATGTATACATGGAACATTGCAAATAGAATAATCCACGAAATGGGGGCGAATAGTGGGATGATCCAAGTAGTTCTCAACAGCATTTGCCGCGTTTGCCTTGGCCGGAATCCAAAAAGCTGGACCGATGTTCGTCATTTTTTGGACGATCCAGGAATAGGTGAAAACTAACGTTCCCTAAGCATGGGCTAACCTTAGTGAACGAGGACAAAACCACCTCAATATCTCTGGCCGTGCTAATCAATACACACCTGGGTGGTTCCCACTGCCCTGAAAGTTTAACTTCTAATGATTATGTATACAAAGTACCGTTATCCCCCTAAACATACTACAAATCTGAGAGGATGGCTGGGAATTATTGCAGGTGTTTACTCAAATTCATCCAAATTCAGCAACCAACCCCCATTTGGACCCATTTTGGGTGTATGAAAAAAAGTACATGGATAGCCTTGTGTTTAGTAAAGCCTAAATTCCGAAGCAGTTGAGCCCTAAAGCCGTTAAAACCTAAATCCCAAAGCCCTAAGCCCTGAATTTCACGAGAACACCTGGGGAAAAACCGTAAAGGCAAAACACCTATATATCCTATATACCGTATACCCGCAATAATTCCGAAACCCATCGAAACCTCAAACCAAATTTGGTGATGGGCGAAACGGCGATGCCCGGTTGGTGCCTGGGTAAATCCTTGATGAACGACAAACCCAGTCATCAAATGGATGGTGCATCCAATGATATCCCAATAAAAAATCTCATTTTCTGCAAAAAAAATGGCTAGAAACCCTTAAAATCATCCCCATGAAAATTGTACATCCGATAAAAATGAATCTCATTTTCATATCCCATTATATATATATATATATCACCATCATATCACCCGATGGTATCACCATTATATCGCAATTATATCACCAGCGTACAAACATATTATTTCTATCCCTCTTATATAACCAGAGACGGGTTGGTTCTATGCACACCTGTTTGGCTGGTTCAGTCCTCAGCTGGTTTGAACCACTGTATCACAACCTCCCAAAAAATGGGTGATATCATACATTATATTCCCACGTATATTCTTACCAATATATTCTCACTTCTCTTATATCGCCATAAACTGGCCATAACCTGCAGAGATACAAATTTCAAACCACCAACCAGAAATAGTGGTTGATCATAACTCTCACCATAATGGCCACGACATGGGGGCGCCTGCAGCCTTTGCAGCAGCAGGCTGCACCTCAGAAAACGTTGGGAGTTTTTCCCATGTGGATAGATTGAAATGGGGGCTCAATGAGAAAATACATCTTTAAGGAACTTCAAGGATTATCCAGCGGGATGGCGGCCAAACGTGGGGCGGCTGGTCATTTTTCAAAATTAGACCAGCCAAATCTTACAAAAAATCTACCTGATTGCTAGTTTCAACGGCTCAACATGTTTCAAACCAATTGAAAAGCACTGATCGAATGAATTGTGGATCAGTACCTCAGTTTTGGTGCGGAAACTAAACATGTTTGAGCAATAGGGGTTTTTTGCACCCTGGTACTCGGATGAATCTCTCTAGAATGAGCAGAGAAGATTTTGTTGGGATGTTGAAATACACAATTTTGGCTACAGGGTATGTACTTTGCTTGCACCGCTTCCATCTTCGTTGCCACGTCTGAAGTTCAAAATTCTGAAGCTCTGCATCAGTCAAGCCAATTCCACCCGAGTTGCCAAGTTTATAGTTAATAACATTTGATAACTCCAAACAAGATGCAGAAAAGTCATTGATCGTACTCAATTACTTTCTTCGAGTGATCCCCACCCTGCCACATTATTCTGACATAGTAAATATTGGGTATATATATATATTACATATATATTTATATTTATTATGTATACATATTCTGACATTCTATCTGACATTTTTCTAGCATCTACTCTGACATTCTTTCTGGCATTCTATCTGGCATCTATTCTGCCATTCTATCTAACATTCTATTCTGGCATTCTTATCTGGCAGTGCCCACTGAGATCTGGCGCTCGCGGTCGCGGTTGAGGAGAAGGACAAGGACAAGGAGGAGAAAGCAACTCTAATCAAAACTAGAGACCCTCACCTGGCAGGTTGGGGAAATAGTTACAAAACTTTGATTAGATGTGATTTGATCTAGTAACCCTCACAAAACTCATGTTCCATTAGATAAAACCTAATCTTTTGGGGGTTACTATATCTATTGAAAACCATGTGTTTTCGTTGCTGGAGTCCGTCCCTGTCCGACGTGTTCCTGTGTCCTCCAACCATTGGCACCCGTGGACTCAAGAGCGTTGGGCCTCAGGGATAGGTAGCACAACCGCGACAGTCGGACATTTCCTGGTCCATTCAGTCTACATACTTGTCATTTCATGTGCTGTATATACAATCTGTATTAGTAAATATATGTATATACATAATATATAGATATAATGTAATATAATATATATAATATATATAATGCACAATTGTATGCCAGCAATGGCTTAGTTTGCAGATCCTATGG